GAAACAAAAAGGAATGATGGAAAACAAACGGATGTGGCAAATAAAACAAACATTTAAAGGAAACCTGGAGACTGGGAATTCCAGGGACGGAATATAAGAATGAACCCAGAAACCCAGTATAAAGAAAACCAGACATAGAATAGAAAACCAGAAAAAACAAGAAAAACTAAACAAGGATTGTAAAAAGAGTACTGGATACCAGAAGCCAAAGCCAGACATCTCCACAGAACATGGCATGATTTGACAGACATCAACTGATGTAAGGCCAGCAGGAAACTCCACTTGATGCCATCAATGGTGTGCAATGAGAGGATGGAAGCAGAGTAGAGGAATATGATTAGCAAGTTGTGCTGAGAGGGAGGTGACAATCTGGCAGCAGGTCAATACAATAAGCTTAAATAACAAGTAGCCATGACACACATGGCCAATAAAACACCATGTATGTTATGATTTAATGGAATTTTTCTAACCACTTTTCATGAAATGGTTAACAGCAGGTATTCTGCAGGCTGTATGTTTTGTTTTTATTATTTTGCTTTTTGTGTGTACTGGGTAGCGTGTTACAGCAAAACAGTGTAATTCGTGGTAGGACAGTTGCCAGGGGTCAAGTCCTGGGGAAAAAAGTGTGGGAACTCACCCAAGATTCCCGCTTCCAACCCCCCGCCCTTAAAAAAAAAAAATTACACTCCTATGTATATAGTACAGTGCAGGTTGTGTATAATGAATGTAGTGTGTTTGTAGTGAATGCAGAGTATGAATAATAAATGTAGTGTGTTTGTAGTGAGTGCTGTGTGAATAATAATTGTAGTGTATTTGTAGTGAGTGCAGAGTGTGTATAATGAATGCAGTGTGTTTTTAGTGAGTGCAGAGTGTGTATAATGAATGTAGTGTATTTGTAGGAGTGCAGTGTGTATAATAAATGTAGTGTGTGTTTGTAGTGAGTGCAGTGTGTATAGTGTGAATAGTAGTGTTTTTGTAGTGAGTGCAGAGTGTGTATAATGAATGTAGTGTGTTTGTAGTGAGTGCAGAGTGTGTACAATGAATGCAGTGTATGTAGTGTGTTTGTAGTGAATGCAGTGTGTGTGTATAATGAATGTAGTGTATTTGTAGTGAGTGCAGTGTGTATAATGAATGTAGTGTGTTTGTAGTGAGTGCAGAGTGTGTATAATGAATGTAGTGTGTTTGTAGTGAGTGCAGAGTGTGTACAATGAATGCAGTGTATGTAGTGTGTTTGTAGTGAATGCAGAGTGTGTATAGTGAATGTAGTGTGTAATGAGTGCAGAATGTGTATAGTGAATGCAGAGTGTGTATAGTGAATGTAGTGTGTAATGAGTGCAGAATGTGTATAGTGAATGCAGAGGGTGTATAGTGAATGTAGTGTGTTTGTAGTGAGTGTATAGTGAATGTAGTGTGCTTGTAGTGTATAATGAATGCAGTGTGTGCATGTGCTGGATGATGTGTGTGCGCGCGCTGGATGACGTGTGTGTGAGTGCTGGATGATGGGTGTGTGAGTGAGTGCTGGATGATGGGTGTGTGAGTGAGTGCTGGATGATGGGTGTGTGTGTGCTGGATGATGGGTGTGTGTGTGCTGGATGATGGGTGTGTGTGCTGGATGACGGGTGTGTGCTGGATGACGGGTGTGTGTGTGTGCTGGATGATGGGTGTGTGCTGGATGATGTGTGAGTGTGTGTGCTGGATGATGTGTGAGTGTGTGTGCTGGATGATGGGTGTGTGTGAGTGCTGGATGATGGGTGTGTGGGGTGCTGGATGATGGGTGTGTGAGTGCTGGATGATGGGTGTGTGAGTGCTGGATGATGGGTGTGTGAGTGCTGGATGATGGGTGTGTGAGTGCTGGATGATGGGTGTGTGTGTGCTGGATGAGTGTGTGTGTGCTGGATGATGTGTGTGTGTATGCTGGATGATGGGTGTGAGAGTGCTGGATGATGGGTGTGTGTGTGCTGGATGATGGGTGTGTGTGTGCTGGATGATGGGTGTGTGTGCTGGATGACGGGTGTGTGCTGGATGACGGGTGTGTGTGTGTGCTGGATGATGGGTGTGTGCTGGATGATGTGTGAGTGTGTGTGCTGGATGATGTGTGAGTGTGTGTGCTGGATGATGGGTGTGTGTGTGTGTGCTGGATGATGGGTGTGTGTGTGTGCTGGATGATGGGTGTGTGTGTGTACTGGATGATGGGTGTGTGTGTGTGTGTGTGTGTGCTGGATGATGGGTGTGTGTGCTGGATGATGGGTGTGTGTGTGTGTGTGTGTGCTGGATGATGGGTGTGTGTGTGTGTGCTGGATGATGGGTGTGTGTGTGTGTGTGTGTGTGCTGGATGATGGGTGTGTGTGTGTGTGCTGGATGATGGGTGTGTGTGTGCGTGTGCTGGATGATGGGTGTGTGAGTGCTGGATGATGTGTGGGGGGGGGGTGGGAAGCATTTTTTTACTTTATGTATATTTTTTTATTTTATTCCCCCCTCCCTGCTTCTTACCGTGTCAGGGAGGGGGGAGATCGCCTGGTGGTCCGGTGGTATGCTGGAGGGAGCCAGCCGCTGCACAGAGGGGCCATCACACGCTGTGTTCCCTCTCCAGCTCTAACTCTCGCGAGACTCGCCTGTGCGGAGCGTTGCCATGGTAACAGCCGCGGGTCTCGCGAGAGTTGTAGCTGGAGAGGGAACACAGCGTGTGCTGGCCCCTCTGTGCAGGTAGCAGGGCCGGTCCTGCAGGACAGGTAACGGGAACGGCGTTCCTGCTTTGGAAAAAGTGCAGGAACGCCGTTCCCATGCGTTCCTGCAGGACTCGAGCCCTGACAGTTGCCCAGAACAGTAAATGATTTGTTTATACATTGTACATTTTCTCCATGATTTATGAATGTGCTTAATAAACTTGTGTAAAAACACATCTGAGTAGATAAACTGCCGTTTTGTGTATTTTTGTTTTCAATCAAAATATTTTATTAAGTTGCAGTAGGAGTACAGCATGCACATAAATAAAAACATACCATAACTAAACCACCAGGGTATAAACAGGATAAATGCCAGGCCGGAGAAAAAAAATATATTTTAAGGTATGAAAAAAAATAGTAAGGAAAAACAAAGATGTATCTTACTAATTAGACAGTAAGTTGCATTAGGCATCACACAAACCTCCCAGGTATGTGCTAAGTTCAAATCTTCAGATAATTTGGCAAGAGTGAATTTAGAGTTTTTATGTCCAATTACACTGGTTATCTTGCGAACTCACATTTCTCTGAATATAAGAAATTGCAATTAAAAACATTGTAGAAAAAAGAAAGAAATAAAATCAAAACATGCCAAAACTTGCCTAATTCAGCCTCACTCCAGAAACTGACTAGTGTATGAGCTGGGGAGACAGACAGTGCTATTCTTTATTAGTAATGGAAAAGGGCCTATAGAAAGTAATATCATCAACTGCTCACCAGGCTCAGACAGGTTAGGAGATGTACTTACCTGTGTGGCCCTACAATTAATGAAGCTTCGCCAAAAGCTCAGTCTAACCTATTTTGTAAAGCAGTATAGAAAGCACAGAACACTAGAGCATGCATTGGGAAAAAAATAATGTATCTCATGCCTCAGATCTCATAGACCACTTGACATTCTTTCATGTGGTTTACAATGTTTTTTCTGAAACCCTCAGTTATTTTCCCATAATAAGTGTTTCACTGTTATCCATATAAAGCATGGTTTTACTCTGTCATTACCCTTTCTCCTTATATACCCTCACCAAAAACCGTTAAACAGGGTCTGTCACTACCCCAGGTTTTCAATAGTATGTTTACTTATCCTTATACTTTAAAAATAATATTTAATAAAAAATAAATATCCTGCAGTTGGGTACCTCCACCTTGGCTCCCTGTCAATCATTGTTTTAAAGGACCACTCTAGGCACCCAGACCACTTCAGCTTAATGAAGTGGTCTGGGTGCCAGGTCCTTCTAGGGTTAACCCATTTTTTCATAATTATAGCAGTTTCAGAGAAACTGCTATAATTATGAATGGGTTAAGCCTTTCCCCTAATCCTCTAGTGGCTGTCTCATTGACAGCCGCTAGAGGCGCTTGCGTGCTTCTCACTGTGATTTTCACAGTGAGAGCACGCTAGCGTCCATAGGAAAGCATTATGAATGCTTTCCTATGTGACCGGCTGAATGTGCGCGCAGCTCTTGCCGCGCGTGCGCATTCAGCCGACGGGGAGGAGGAGAGCTCTCCGCTGGCGCTGGAAAAAGGTAAGTTTAAAACCCCTTTCCCCTTCCAGAGCGAGGCGGGAGAGGACCCTGAGTGAGGGAGCACCCTCAGAGCACTATTAATCGGAAACTCCAGCAGGGTGGCTGGGGAGGCTACACTCCCTTCATAGTACTCACCCTCCAGCCGTCCATGGTCCCCCTCCACCTACAGATGCAGCTGGCGGCATCCTTCCAGCCTCGGATGCATGCCGTTCCCTCCATCCCCCAGCGGCAGCATACGCGGCGCTACCGCTGGGGAACCGCCCAGAGGTTATACCGCGCGAGTTCAGTCACACCTGACCCGGTACGTTAAAACAAAGATGCCACAATCACGAAAGTCTAAATATCTCCCGTGTGGTGTGGTCTCATTCATTCATCAATCTAGAGTAAACCTGATAGTTCATCACCACCTTGCCACTGTTCCCTCCTTACCTGTTGTGGTCTTTGCTTGTTAGTATTGATTCTGTGCTTCTGGTTACGTACTCTCTGGCTTGTTATCCGACTCTGTGACTTTCTCCTACCCTTTGACCTCGGCTTGTTTCACGTTTTTCTGTCTTCTGGTTCCCCTTACTCGGCTTGTTTCCTAACTATTCTTTGTGTGCTTAGCCCGGCCGCTCTAAGGTCCGGTACGGCACTTTGTGTGTGTGTGTGTGTTGGCGTGTTTGGTTCCCCGAATTGTGACATTACAACAGGGCCATAATGGAACCTGCTGACATACCACAGCTTCTAGTTAATCAAGAGGCTAGAATGGATGGCTTAGACCACCGTATGGATCAGTTTGCTCAAGCTTTACAAACCATTCTGGCTCGTACTGCACACTTGCAACCGGCCGTTCAGGAGGCTGCTGCTGCTGTGCCCGAACCCATTCCCACTCCAGTACCTGTTCCCGCTCATGTAGTTCACATGACGCCGCCACAGCGCTACAGTAGTGACCCAGCATTGTGTCGTGGTTTCCTCAACCAAATCGACATCCATTTGGTGATGAATCCACGCTCCTATCCCACTGACAGATCTAAAATTGCCTTTTTGATAAACCACTTGTCCGGGAGAGCTTTAGCATGGGCCAACCCCATTTGGGAAAATACGTCTCCTATGTCCTTTGCTGATTTTCTGACAGCTTTCAGACGCACGTTTGATCAACCCGATAGGGTTGCTTCTGCTGGCAAGGCTCTGCTTAGGGTCCGACAGGGTAACAGGTCTGTAGCAGATTACACTATCGAATTTCGTACTCTAGCAGCTGAAGTGGTTTGGAATAATGACGCCCTCGTAACAGCCTTTCAGGAGGGTCTGGCCGCGTATATACTGGATGAAATAGCATCCAGGGAATTACCTGCTCTTCTAGATGATGTTATAGACTATGTGATTCTTATAGATAACCGTATTAGAGAGAGGCGTAGCCAAAGACGGTTGGATACACGGGTGTTACCTGCTCTACCCAGTACTTCCCTGCTAGCGCTACCCGCTCCTGTGCAGCCATCCCCTGAACCCATGCAGTTGGGTGCTACAGGGTTAACTGAGGCCGAAAGAGCGTACCGTAGAAGGGAGGGGTTATGCCTTTATTGTGGGAAGAGGGGGCATCACTGTAAAGCCTGCCCTAAACTACAAGGAAACTGCAGCACCTAAGGCCTAGAGAGAGAGGGGTCGGCCTCGGGTGTTATGACCTTGTCCCCTCATATGTCCATCTCTAGACCGTTTATTACGGTTTCTCTCTTGGTCAATAAAAAAACCACTATAACAACCAAAGCCCTGATCGATTCAGGTGCGGCAGACAACCTTATGGATGAGACCTTTGCCAAAACCGCAGCCCTGAATTTGATTCGAAAGGAGACACCCTTGGCCGTTGAGGCCATAGATGGTAGACCACTGGAGAGACCTCTGGTGACCCATGAAACCCAGGAAATAGTTATGTCTGTGGGTGTTTTGCACAAAGAGAAGTTAACCTTCCAAATAATTAACTCCCCAACAGCCTCCATCGTTCTAGGTTTTCCCTGGTTAGTTAAACACAACCCTGTTCTTGATTGGGGTTGTTTAGACATACTTTCCTGGGGGAAATCTTGTCAGCGAGACTGTGTGGCTCATGTACATCCTGTCTGTTTACTTAACGTACCCACGGCTAAACCACTCTCGGTTTCTGTGCCCTCTGTTTATGCAGACCTTGCCTTGGTTTTTGAAAAGAGGGAGGCAGATAAGCTACCTCCACATCGTGAGT